CTCAAAAAAAAAAAAAAAAAAAAAAAAAAAACCTTAGCACCATCCTGGAGTCCTGCCTTATTAGAGCCAGAACTGCCTTATAATGAAGTCTCTCTCTCTTTTTTTTTTTTTTTTGAGTTATTCGAACCCTCCTCTGTGGTTGGTTCCACTGCCTAAAACAAACAACCAAAGGCTACACAATATGTGCATGGAATAAACGCAAATTCCACCTCAAACAAAGTGATAACACAAAACTTACTGGTACAGAAAAGTAACTACTGTGCATCTCTTGGGTGTCTCGGCTAGTCCCCTAAGGCAGGCGTCCTCAAACTACGGCCCGAGGGCCACATGCGGCCCGCCCAGGACATTTATCCCGCTATGCCGGGTGTTTTTGCCGCCGCTGCCTGTCCTGCTCGCAGCCGACGGTCCGGCCCGCGTGCGCTCTCTCCAACGGTCTGGGGGACGGTGACTGGCCCCCTCCCGTTTTAAAAACCTTGGAGGCCTGCCCTAAGAGAATAGAATCAAGAAAGTGAAGTATCAAGGCAAGAGCGATCGTTTGACCAAACTTGGTCGTGGCCCCCAACTTTCTCCCGATCTTGCTAACAACCACATGGCCACGTGTACTACGGATGTAATCAAGGCAGTCACTGCCGCGGTCAGCTGTCGGGACAGACCCCCCCCCCCTCCACGGCAAGGATGCTGAGCGCGGGTTTTTGTTCCCTTAGCCGGGAGGCCAGCTCCTTGCAGACCACGAGCAGAGCCTGGTTTTCAGAAGACAGTGAAATCTGCTTCCGTTCAGACCCTGGCCAAAGACGTCTCTGCGTTACAAAAAGCATCGTTCACATTTTTTTGTTGTTTTTATTTTTTTTGAGAGCAGAGTACTCGCTTTGTGCCAAGGCTAGAGTGAGTGCCGGTGGCGTCAAAGCCTCGCTCGTACAGCAACCCCAACTCCTGGCCGTCAAGCGACTCCTCCCTGCCTCAGGCGCCTCCTCGGAGTAGCATGGGAACGTACAAGGCATGCGCCACCACGCCACCGGCTCGATTTGTTGTATATATTTTAGTTGTCAATTAAATTTCTTTCTATTTTTGGTAGAGACGGGGGTCTCGGCTCTTGCTGCAGAGCTGGGTTTCGGAACTCCTGACCATCGAGCGATGCCCTCGCCTCGCTCCCGAGTTGCTAGGATGAAGGCGTGAGAGCCACCGCGCCCGGCCCCGCGCCGTTCACATTTATTGGGAATGTCACCGTTCCTACGATGAGCTCTGAAAGCGCATTTACAGCAGTATCAGTCTAGAACTTTCCTGGATGGGGAATCTTCACTTTTCCTTTTATTTTTTTATTTATTTATTATTTAGTTTCCAGGAAGAAACCTACCTATCAAAGCGTTGGGAAATTTCTTTCTAGAGATCCTGACCAAACGGATGGATGGATGAAGGCCTGGCCTCCTGCCTTAAAGATGCCTGGCTATTTTTTTTTTTTTTTTCAACATGCTTTGCAGTTACTTTTTCCCCCGCCCCGGTTATCATGCATGCCTGGTCCATCTTCAAAGCACAGAAACAGAGGGAGGTGTCCAGAAAACTTTCCCTTTTTTTAAGCCTAGTTAGCACCAGGGAGGGAGGGTGGCAGGCCGTGAGCGGTGTAAGTTACTTGCTCCACCGCAGGAATTGGGAGAAGGCTTCTTGCTGAGCCATGCCGTGTCTCAGCCCCAAGCTGATCTGTGCTGAAAAGTGGGACAAGAGCCGGTTCTCACCGGGTGGATTCCAGGAGGTGTTTACACCCTGCGCCGGCTGCTCCCTCCACCCTCCTGTCCCAGCTCCTCCCAGCATGGACTGTGCAACTCTATTTGCCCAGATGGCTTTTAAAGAACCCCAAAACACCAAAGCACCTGGTTTTGCTTGTGTGTGTGTGTGTGGTTTTTTTTTTTTTTTCCCCCACCAAGGAAGAGGAAGCTAGCCAGCAGAACGTGTCCATGGTGATATAGCGACAAAAAGGGGTGCAGAGTTAAGAGCTGGTGCAGGATCCAGCTCTTAAAAGGCAAATGTGCAAAAAAAAAAAAAAGTTCTGAGTCTGACTTCTCTCCTCTTGGTGATGAAGGTGGCTTGATTTCCAACCCAAGGGACTTCCCGCTGAGCGATTTGGGAATCAGCAGAATGAGGCACCCCAGGACAGACAGCCTGGGTATTGGGGAGAGGGGTCCCCCCGTTTGCCCTTCTTCCAAACACCCCCTCCAGCAGCCGGGTCCCCTCCTCTGCTTCTGCTCGCCCCAGTCTGCCTCTCCTCTTGTCCCCTCTTGCTGCAAGTTTCCAAAACTAGGTCTGCTCGAAAACAGACGCACCTGGGGCAATGCCAGGTGTGAGACGACAGGACAGGACAGGACAGGACGGAGGGGCGCAGGGGGCGGCTGGAGAGGGCGCGGAAGGGTCCTTAAGGGGGTGCATGGACAGGGGCAGGGGGCGCACGAGGAAGCCAGGGGTTAGGGGAGGGGGTGTCCTGCTTGGGGGAGCCCAAAAGGCACCCTGGGAGGGAGGGAGGGATGGGGTACGGGGGTCCCCGCGCGCTCTCTCACCTGTCGCCTTGCCTCGGAAGCTGCGCACCGTGTTGCCTTCGCGCGGGGCCCGGGCGCGCGTGGGCCCCAGACTCCGCGCCACCTGGGCGCCGCTGTACCTGTCGTAGAGTCGCAGCATGTGCTCCGACGCCCCGTCCCGTGGCCGGAGCTCCTCCGGGCTCGGGCCACCCCCCCTCTCGCGCGGTCACCTGGCGCGCTCCTGGCGCTCGGGGACATGTGCTCCCGCTGCTGTGCTGCTGCTGCTGCTGCTGCTGCTGCTGCTTCGGCCTCTCCCCCTGCGCCAGCTCAGGCAGAAGCAGCCCAGCCACAGACGGAGCAGGCCGGCGCGCCCCGGCCATGGCGAGGTGCTCGTCCCCGCCGGCTGCGCAGGCGACCACCCGGGGCACGACGCCGCCGGAGACGGAGCCCGAGTGGCGCAACTCCAAGTCGGGGTGGGCGGAGGGCGCCGGGTGAGCGGGCTGGCGAGGACGGGGGGCGACGGGGACCGCCGCGCGCCCCGTCAGCAGGTGTCCAGGTGTCTGTCGTGTCCCCCGCGGCGCTGCGCGCACCGTGCCCGCCCGGGCGCCGGAAGCGGGCTCTGGTTTGTCCAGCCTCGTCTCTCGCGGTTTCGGGGACACCCGCCCCGCCGCGCTGGCCGGGGACCCAAGCGCCGCGTCCGAGGCCCCGCGTGCGCCGTGCGGGCGGCCCAGCCGCGCGGGTCCAGGGCCGCAGCCGCGCCGGAGTGTCGCGCGTGTGTCCGGGTGCGAGTGTCAGAGAGAGACACACACGCGCGCACGCACGCACTCTGGTGCGGGTCCTTCGCTCCCCAGCCGGCACGCAGCCCGCCTCGCCCCTGCGCGCTTCGCTTGGGTGCAGCTTGGACAGCGGAGCCCGCAGGGGGAGGGACCAGAGCGCGGGCGGGGGAGGGAGAGGAGGGAGGGGAGGAGGGAGGGGAGGGGAGGGGAGGGAGGAGTAGGAATGGCTAGGGGAGGGGAAAAGGGGAAGGAGAAAGTAAGGGTAGGAGGAGCCCCAGCGCGTTGGCTCACGCCTGTTAATCCCAGCACTCTGGGAGGCCGAGGCGGGAGGATCGCTCGAGGTCAGGAGTTCGAGACCAGCCTGAGCAAGAGCGAGACCCCCCCCATCTCTACTAATAATAGGAAGAAATTAATTGGCCAATTAATATATATAGAGAGAAAAGATTAGCCGGGCGTGGTGGCGCATGCCTGTAGTCCCAGCTACTCGGGAGGCTGAGGCAGGAGGATCGCTTGAGCCCAGGAGTTGGAGGTTGCTGTGAGCGAGGCTGACGCCACGGCACTCACTCTGGCCCAGGTGGCAGAGCGAGACTCTGTCTCAAAAAAAAAAGAAAAAAGAAAAAGAAAGGGTAGGAGGGACGGTTCCATTTATTTACTTGTTAATGGCTGTGCCCTGGCTGGAAAAAGAGGGTGGCCGAGGCCGGCGGGCTCCTCCCGGCTTTTTTCTTTCTTTCTCTTCTGATTCGAAACGTGATCACGACGGGGACCCCCTCTTGGCTTCCCTCCCCGGGACTCTGCACCTGCGTCCTGTCCGGTCCCCACAGCACCCTGTCACTCTGCTTGCTCGCCTGCCCGGTGGTCCCCGTCCTCACCTGTCTCACCTGCCTGGTGGTCCCTGTCCTCACCTGTCACACCTGCCCCGTCCCCGTCCTCACCTCACACCTGCCCCATCCTTGTCCTTACCTGCCACACCTGCCTCGTCCCCGTCCTCACCTTCTCGGGAGGAGAGAAGCTTGTGCGAGCCAATGGCTGCATGTCCCGCACGAGTAAGAAAGCGAATTCTGAGAAACACGGTGACCCAGCACCTCTCGTGTTTTCCTGGCTGGAGCTGGAGCCCATCCTACTAAGGGAAGCGTCCCGAGAATGGAAACACAAGCACCACGTGCGCTCACCAGCAAACTGGTGTTGACGGATCAGCACCTAAGTGGACACACGGGAGTGACATCTGTCGGGTGTCGGGCAGGTGGGAGGGGAGGAGGGGACGGGTGTAGACAGACACGACGAGTGAGACGTGCACCGTCTGGGGGATGGGCACGCTTGAGGCTCTGACTCGAGGGGGGAGTGGGGCAAGGGCAATATATGTGACCTTGACATTTGTACCCCCATCATATGCTGAAATAAAAAAAAATTTAAAAAATTTAATTACTAAAAAAAAACACACCCCAATGCCACCCCCACCTCCAGTCCCTCAAGGGGCCTCTCTGCGGGTTGGTGGCGAGACAGGAGGGTGTCTGAAGACCCCCCAGTTCCGAGCTGGGTCTCGGTGCTGCCGGCTCCGATCGTCTCCCTCATTCTCTCCTTCCTTGGCTTCACCACAGAGGTTACACTACTCGCTAACATTGCACCTCATGCTTGATGCCCTAGACCCTCCGCGTTCCCTCGGTCTCATGTGTCTTGCCTTCAAAGCATCTTCACAACGAAGCCCAGTTTCACAGACAGGGAAACTGAGGCAGCAGCACTTGGCAGAGGTGAGCTCCAAGCTCA